AAATAAATAAATAAATAAATAAATAGCGATCTTCATTACGCATTTGAACATCAACATTTAATTTGCACGACACTTCCTTAGGAAGATAACTACTGAATAAGGGTACCCCTCTATTTAAGTATTAATGATATATTGTGCTCATGCTAGTATGTAAACACTAGTAAAAAAATTTTTTTACCTTCCAATTCCAGGTAATGTATCAGGAAACCATGACAATTCCAGTTCCTGTCTCTTCTGCCTAATCAATGCACTGATTTCATTGACTTCTATAAATTCTGTACTAAAAGATAAATTTTAGATCTTCAACAGAATCCAGAAAATTTAAGTTCAGAGTAACAAATGAGTTATATCGAGCATAACCATAGTTTTTGTACCTAGTATTATGAATCATACTTACAAGAATAAGAACTTTTTTCAATTTAAACACTTTCAAAATAAATTCATTCCTAAAATAAGTAAAATTTTCATTATTACAAATCAAAATTATATTTGAGTCCTAAAAATAATATCAAATTTCTATCCTAAGTGACAGAATTTTAAAAAAATAAGTCAATTTAGACTAATATCGTCATTATCGATAGAAAGAAATTCTAGGGAAAAAAGAGCTTCCTGTTTGAAACTAAGCACAAAAAGGAAAAAAATAAAGGAGGGTATGGCTACTGCAACCAAAAGTGGGTATACTTTGGCTTTTCAAAAGGCTACTCAGACGTTATTGTCTTCTTTGGTACTCTGCCACGTTCTGAAATTAAATCACAATATTTTATTCTGTTCTTGGTTCAACTAATGCTATGTGATTTTAAAACCCCAATTTAATCTTCAAATTTCACAAATATCTACATACTAGTCACTATGGATTCAAAGACGACTAGATCCGCTCTAAGTGTTCTGCTTTATTAGGTACTTCTCCCACAATTTAATAAGCAGCCTACTTCACTATCATATAAAAAGCTGTATAGGACAACTTAACTTACTCATGAAACAAAGCCCACTGGCATAAGCAGTCATTGTGTAATAGAAAAGCTCACAAAATAACTGGTTTTCTCTTTGTCAGACCTAGTTTATTTTCCAAAAGAAACAAAAACAAAAAACCAGGTGGGCCTTTCATAATTTTTTTGAGCCCAGAGCTTAAGTTTTCTACGAAGTTAATTATAATGATTAAAACATCAAGTATAAACAGTATAAATTAAAATTAGAAAAGACTAACCAGTAAGCTCTATAGGTAAAAGAAGACTCTCCAGTGTGACTACTAGAAGAAAACATATTGGAGAAAAAACTTCTGAAGCACTGACTTGTACACTGATTTGATCTTTGAGGCTAGAAAAGTAAAAAGTAGTTAGTAAAACAGCCAACAAAAATACCTCTGTAACAGGTATATAATAGTTACATTAAAATATTTTGATATACTTGAAGCACTAGAGTTATGTACTAAATAACCCAAACAAATTATTATTTAAGAAAAAGATTTTTCTTTATTTCAACAGACCTTATTTATCTTTATTGCTGCATTTTTCTTTCCTCCCATTTCACCGTATGGAGAGTTTCCTGTACAGACACAAAAGGACTTGGTTACCTTGTCTTAATTCTTATTTAAAAAGGCTGTAAATCAGTATTAATAACAGCATATAGAAAAGAGAAAGTTAAAATATGTAGAAAAGTTACATTTCAAATAATAGTACTTGTATTTATACAATTTTCCCAAATGCTAATTTCACTGTTAAGCCACAGATACAAGAAAAACACAAAAGGCCACAATAGAGCAAACTGGTAAAGTATGTAAAACTGTTGTGATTAGAGCATATGAGTATTAAAATTCTAGTCAATATTTTCTGCCACTCTATGCAAATGTAAACTATCTTGTAACAAAAGATATACATACAAGCAGTCAAGCTGTTTAATATCAATAATGCACTTAATATTTCTTTTCCAGCTATTATATAAAACAGGGAATGTTAACTCATCTCAAGTGGGAGTTGGTAACTGGGGTCATTAGCCCTTGTTAACTCTAAACTACCATTTAACCACTGGCACCCACTTCAAGTTAAGTACTCTCCTTCCTCAAACATAATTAGAGGGAAAAGTAGAAGTGTTAACTGAAACAGCTTTCTGTTGTAGCAGTGCTGTTGGCTGCACTGCTTATGACTTGGTTTTTTTTGGTTTTATCTAACCATTAATCTGGCTAACTCTACAAAAAAAAGTATCAATCTCCATCTGGACATTAATTTCTATGAGTACTTTCAGATTAAATAAAATAAAGGATAGGAAGACAGGATAACCACAAAAATTGTGTGAACATTGTTATAGATTACTGCTCTTAGTTTTTCTTTACCATTAACCTTCTGGTATTAGTCATCTGTACCTATCTATACATTTATGGTCTGCAATAAACTGCTGCTGGTACTCTTCGGAACACTAGAAAAATCAACAATGCAAATGACAACTATGTTTTAGTCTTCAGCCTTGCTTGCCTCATAAAGGGCCTATTGACTTTGTTCAAAATAAATCACATTAACTGGAAAGCCTGTTTCCTGCTACATAAGATCATAAGTACTTTGGTTTTCTTCTGTTCGTCCAGTTGGTAGCAGCCTACTTTTGTGCTATTATCCATCCTTCATACACGTCCCACACAGAACTGTTATAACAAATTTAATTTTGATGTTGGGGGCAGGGGAGCTGGCTGAGTTTTGGGAAGAGTAAGTACCTACTCTGTGGTAGGTACCCAGCTACATTCTTAGAAATAACCACCATTTTCCTTCAGCTAGACAGAATTGCTGTGCTGTAGCTACACAGTGTGTTTTATGCCCTCAAAATGCTGAGTTGTTTTGATTCAGGTTTCATTCACTCAATATTTAGTTAAGTGTATGTACTGTTTACATAGCATTCTTTCACTTGGAAGCTTATCTCAGAAAGCTATTATTAGACAAAATGCTCTCTATGGAAAGAACTGTTAGTTTTCCGGCCAATATGAAAAATCTAGCCCAAAACCTATTTCACATTTCTCGGTAATTCTCAGGTAATTGCTGAGAGGCTCCAATGACAATCTCTAAAGTATTCAATACTGGTGAATTTGTCTCAATTGTGATTTCCTAGAGATCACTTCACAAATCCACCCTACTAACCTGCCTTTGGACAGCAGTTATATATCTTCTCATTTAATTTTTATCAGAGTAATGCATGTACATACCTTAAGAAGTCAAACAGCACTTCTAAGCTTATAAAGCAAAGTACAGAAATACCCACTCCTGATTTCTGCTTCCCAAAAGTACTATCAAATCCTTTGGCTCTTTCTTCTAATACTTACCTCTTTATTTCTAAATAACATCCTCATATATTACTCTACCTTGATTTATTGGGTTTCAGATATTATCTTATTATTTTTAAACTATGGAAGATATTTTCCTCTTTATACCATTGCCCTACCTATCCCCTTTGCTGCCTTCACTCTGTCTATATTGTTCTTTTTGATATATCGACATTTGATATAGTAGTATCACATTACTCTAACTATATAAACATTAATCACAGCTGAACCACATATTGCGCCTTTGCTGCCTTCACTCTGTCTATATTGTTCTTTTTGATATATCGACATTTGATATAGTAGCATCACATTACTCTAACTATATAAACATTAATCACAGCTGAACCACATATTGCGTTATGATTTGGTCCTTCTTTCTGAGACTTCTCAGCTTATCTTCCACTCCTATTGAATTTTTAAATTTCTGCTGTAATATCTTTTAAAACTTTCTTTTTAAAAATTGTTTTTTTTCTCATATCATTGATGAAATATCCCTTCTTTGACTTCTAAGGGAATTAATATTTTTAAAGTTGTTCCATATTTCCCAGCACTGGGTCCGTTTCATTGGGTTCCTTTGTCTTTGTTTTGATCTCTGTTATGATGTCCCTCAAATACCTGGTGACCCTGGTTTGTTTATGGGACACAAACATTGATAGAAAATGGTATGGATGGGTGGTCAGAGTCTTTCAGCTAATGGGTTTCATCGTAAGGTGATCGAGTAGAGATCTGCTATTTCACTGGGAGACTCCCAGATGTCATTATCTCCAAATCTTTTTTTGGGGGCAAGTCAGTATTTCAGAAGATCATTCTTATTTTCTGCTTTGGGGAATATAATAAGCCAGACTGCCAGTGCTTTGGGAAATGATCATGGGTAGAGGACTAGAGGCCTCACCATTTGACTTATTTTCGCTCTCTTTACCCTGTTGTTTCCTCTACCTTCATTTGTGCTACCATTTAATCTTGCTAGAGTTTAGCCCCGCACTTTGTAGAGTAAACCTCCAGTCTTTGAATGGCTAGTCCCCTTCCTCTACCCTGTTCAGCCAGGAATCTTCAGGATAAACTGGTCATCTAAAAATCTGTAACTAATTCTGTTTTTTTGGCACCACCCCATATCTCTGCCTTTAGAGATAACGGAGGCCTCCAAATTCGAGACTTTCTAAGGTTCTATAGTATATGAACTGACTTGATTCTTAACTCTACCCTCCCCATGAAAGGTTTAGCTTTCAGCTTTCTAAGACAGTTTAACATTCCCCTTGTATAATCAATCACTTTCTAGTTTCTATTTGTGCACATCTCTTATGTGAAGTTCCCTAGCCCCCTCCAGTTCTCCTGTTTTTGTGGCTTAAAATTTTTCTTTTCGGGCCGGCCCGGTGGCGCACTGCTACAGTGCACCGCTTGGGAAGCGCGGCGGCGCTCCCGCCAAGGGTTCGGATCCCACATACAGACCGGTTCCCGCTCACTGGCTGAGTGAGGCGCGAGAGCAACACCGAGGGTTGCGATCCCGTTGCCGGTCCCGGTCCGGTACGGGGGCGACACTGAGGGTTGCGATCCGTTGCCGGACACGGAAAAAGACAAAAAGGAAAAAAAAAAATTTTTTTTTTCTTTACCAAGTATTTCATACTAAGAACATGATGTCGATAAAATAAGAGTTCAAAGACAGGATGATCAAACAAAGTTCATTCATTCAGCATGCTTTTATTGTGTGCCTACTATGTGCCAGTTATTACTCCAGGCACAGGGAATACTGTAGTGAGCAAAACATATAAAGTCCCTGCCCTCATGCAGCTTATATTCAAGTTGGGGAAAGCATCAGGTAATAAGAGTTACAGGTAACACTTAGAGAACACTGTCCACATGCCAGGCATCATTCTCAAAGCTTTGCCTATATCAACTCATTTAATCCTCATGACTACTCTGCAAAGCAGATACAGGGCGCTGGGAGCGCCAAGGCTGCAGTTCGGATCCTATATAGGGATGGCCGGTGCGCTCGCTGGCTGAGTATGGTGCAGGCAACACTGTGCCGAGGGTTGTGATCCCCTTACCGGTCAGAAAAAAAAAAAGCAGATACAATTATTGCCTTAATTACAGACATGGAAACTGTGCCACAGAGAGGTTAAGTTGCTTGGCCAAAGCACATAGGTTATGAGCAGCAGATCCAGGAATCAAGCTCAGGAAGTCTGGCTCTGAAGCTGTGCTCTCCACTACACAGTACT